TGTGTGGGAAAGCCACGCTTTAAGTGTGGGAGAGCCATGCTTCGGCACGAATTGGCCGGCTCGACCCGAGTGATACCACGGCCTCACAGTAAACTGACGTGAAGTAACGCTTGTGTTGTGTTTCGTCGTGTGAGTGAGGTTACCGGAGGCCCAATTACCCTCCCCTTCCCCAATCTCCCCAATCCCTGAATTCCCAACGATCAGTGCCGGATTAAGCCAGCGCGGGGCCTGTAGCAAATTCTGTCTAGGGGCCCTTGGTTTGCTATCGGTTCTCATTTGGGCATTGACTAAATTTGGTGCCTTTCTTTTTTCTGGCGTCAGTCGATGATTTATGGAAGATATTGTCTGGAATGATATCACAAAGGAAATTGTCCCCATATACATATATGAAAGTGAGCCCATAGGGCTCATGTATGGAAATCTCAGTCTGGACTGAGTTATGACCGTTGAAGGGAGCTGAAGTCAAACATTCTACTTTGGTTTTTTTTATTCAAATCTTATATCTTATACCATTATCTTATATACTATTATATAAAGCGGAAGAGTTTGTTTGTTTGAATAACTAATCTAATCTCCGTAACTACAAGTCTGATTTGAATAATTCTTTTTGTGTTGGATAGTGCATTTATCGAGGATGGCTATACGCTATAAAACATCACGCTACAACCAAAAGGAGCCGAGCAGAGCGTGTGAAACCGCGCGGAAGTAGCTAGTTATTCATATTTGTGTCACAATTCCCAACTTTAAATTGCGTGCAACTGTACGTCGGGCGCAGGAATACCATATCACACCACAATATATTCATATTGCCAGGCACTAATTTTTATTACCTATTTTCTCTCGGTCGATAACTTGTGGGATGCTTCTAGGAGTTGTGTCATGAAGCTTCATGAGCGTCAGCTATGTTACCAGTGGTGGGTTGAGCGGTGGTAGCCGTGCGAACATCTAATAAAGTGTATTTTGTTTTGCCATTGACTCCTGGTGGGAGACTCATCTACTTTATAGTTCGCATAATCTTTTGTAGAAAGGAAACCGTCGACTTTGTAAAGTGATATACGTCAGATGAGCGTATATTTTTTTT